GAAAGTGACACATTCTTTTGCTGTGCGCTAACAAAAGAATCTCTGGACATAGTGCTGGGTTACGAAATAATCTCATAGGGGTTCAAATAGAAAATGTCTTTATTCTGTGAAAAGCACCAGGATGTTTGGAAGAATGCAGACAAACACACATAGCTCCTCTACATCACCATTATCAGTATGCTGTTTGTATAAAACAGTTTTTTTTACCTTCCTTACATATTTTTTTATTGTAGCTAATAACTATCAGTTTTCAAATATGATTTTATCCCTGAGTATTTTCATCATTGTCATGTTTTATTTCCCTTAAACCAGACTGTTGCTTAATCTAAACCCTATGTTTTTTACTCCCACTACCAGCACAGCGAGTAGCAAGAGACATTGTTTTTTCGGGTTGTTTGTCTGTCCCATTCTCGTGAACACAATATCTCAAGAATGCCTTGAGGGTATTTCTTCAAATTTGGTGCAAATATTCATTTGATCTGATTAGATCTTGGAGGTCAAAGGTAAATGGTAAATGGTCTATATTTATATAGCATTTTTCTAGTCTTGATGACCACCCAAAGCGCTTTACAGTACAGTTTTGAACATGATATCTTAAGATCAGCTTGAGGGAAAGTCTTCAAATTTGGCACAAACGTTAATTTGTACTCAAAGATGAACAGATTCGATTTTGGTGTCCGGAGGTCAAATGTCTAAGTCACAGTGACCTCATGTTACTGTGAATGTGATATATTAGGACTGCCCATAGGGAATTTCATAAAATCTGGCACAAATCACTTGGACTTGCTGATTACCTGATTCAATTTCGGTGGTCAAAGGTAACGGTGGACTCAAAAAACATCTTAGTTATCACTTGGACTCAAAGATAAAGTGATAACATTTAAGTGGTCAAAGGTCACCTTATAAGTGACCTTATATGAATCTGGGAAAAAAATTATGCAGAAATATGTAAACGGAAACTACACTACAATCGCAGTGTGGTAATTCTAGTTTATACATGGCTTAATTAAACCAAATGACATTTACATTTTTTTTCCAGCATGTCATTGACTGATAATGACTGAGTATTACCTTCTCTTCCTGCAGATTAATCATGATGTCAGTCTTGCAAGTAGCCCTGCTCAGCTTGGTCCTGTTAGCAAGGACCACTGTGGCATTTCTCTCCATCGGGGGTGGGATTTCCTCTCATGTCAGCATCACAGGAACGGCTCTGTTGCAAGAAGTGTCCAAGGCTTGTGAGATGGTAATCAAGGAAGCCGGTCACGAGTTCAAACCCACGGTAGGATAGAAAGTAAACCTAGTCACAAACATGCACTCTCAGACATACACATATAGACATTCAGACATTCAACCACATTTGAACATACTTGTGTGGTATGTTAAATTAAAAAGTCCAATTATTCATATAAAGCAAAAAGGGTAATATGGCACTGGACAGATGTTCATTTTGTGGTTTGTCCCATACAATATTTTGAAAGGAATAGTGCAAATTTTGGGGAAACTTGCTTCTTCCTTTTAGTTGCTTACAACCAACAGTATAGCTTAGCATAGCATGAAGAAATTGTGACTGGTGGACAAAGGCAGGATAATAGCTGCTGGTTGTAGCTTCTCACAAAAGTAGGAGTGGTATCAATCCTCCCATCAAAGCGAGGAATGTAGCTGAGGCTTATGGGAGTCATATTTTGCACAACTTCACAATTTTCCAACCACTTCACCATACTCTTTGCTTGGCTGCATTGTTAGTATCAATGGTCTTTTCTGCCTCCAGGGTTCATCTCCTGAGGAGCTGGTTCAGGCCTGTCTCGGACCCACAGCAACAGGACAAGTGTCAGGGGCCAAGTTTCACACTGCTCTTCAAGAAATCTACACCCAGAATGGACTGGTAGACCGTGACTTTGTCGCCAGGTTAATAAACAGTTATTTAATAAAATAACAAAATAATGCTACAGCGTGTGTATTACAAAGCTTTAAATGTGGTTTGCCTGTAAACAACATTTTTTCTTGTGAAAAATTCTTCCAGTGCTCCACACCACTTTAACTCAGAGACGTTCCTAGAGGGACGTGGCCTAATCACGAAGGGCATGGTGGCCATTAAGGCGAACATTCGCAAGGAGAACTTCCAGGCTGCCAGAGAAACACTGGGCCGTGTCCTTCACACACTACAGGTTGGAGAGTAATGAGGCATAAAGAAGTTTAGAAACAAAATAATGAAGGCGCTAGAATAACAAAGAGACTGGAAAGCATTATGATGAAGGCAACAGGAGGCAGAACAAGAGAATATAGAAACTACAAGAAAGAAAAGATCATTTGAATTTAACTGTGTGTATAAATACTGAATATGAAACCTGCCTATATGTATAAATGGGTTAATGTGTGTTTCCATGTATTTTCCAGGACTTTTACAGCCACAGTAACTGGGTGGAGCTGGGATACACAGAGCCGTACATCAACCTCTTACGTCCAGATCTGCCACTTGAAAACCTGGCAGGTCTGTGTACAAGCTTGTGAACTTATTATTCTCACAGAGGGACTGTGTATGTGCTGATTATGGGCTCATCAACTAGGTAATAGTCATATAATTGTAAACTGGTTTAATTCAATCTGAGATCAAATCAATAGTGTTCATGCCATGGAGAGCGCGAAATTCTGATCAGCTGGTGCTTTTTATTATTGGATAACCAGTGACACAGTAACAAAACAAATGTTATGCTCCTATTTTGCAGAGAAATCAGTTATTCTATTAATGTTGCTGCCATGGCAGAGATCAGCACCTCTAACAGCCATGTCTGTCTGTCTGTCTGTCTCAGTCTGATATGGTGAAATTAGAAAAATCTAATCTTCAAAATGATCTGGTGGGACAGAGTTTATTGAGACTGCCAGTGGCCAACTGCTGTTGTACTTTATCAGAGGACATAGAAGAAGACATGTTCAACACTGTCCACAGACTGAAGCAACCACTAACTGCTAAAGAGCACTGATACCTGTTTATTAATATAGAATATATCATGAGTCAAAATCATACCAAATTTAACACTGTACTTCCCTGGGCCATTGAAAAAACACATGTTAAGTGTGAAGGTGATAAGATGTTTGCAAGAGATCCACATACAGACAGACAAAGACAATTGTGGAATTAGTAGGTAAAAGTCAATCATTAGCTGGGAAATTATTGTATTGTTACCTGGATGTTCGAGTTTTTTCAAAGAAAAAAATATTTCAAGCTTGACAAACAAAAGGAATTACAATCCTCTTACTGTTGTAAAATACAGACAGCAGTAGAAGCAAAATAATCCACTTGAAGAATAATCAACTGCCAAACACACAGTTTTTTGTGAATTATCCAAATACATACTCACATTATTTGTGAGTATGTGAGTAACAGTTTGAGCAAGTTATGAAATGAAGCAATGTCTATTTACCTTGGTCTGAACTTGCTTTTTTATCCCTCATCTTATTTGCGCTTGGCTTATGTAGATGTCAACACTCCGACCTGCACTGACTGTGAAAGTGGAACATGCCCCAACTCCATCCTTCCCGACATCCTACAAGAAATGAAACTTACATCAGGCTACATGGGAGTCTTCTATTCATCCAAGCCTCAAGGTAACAGTGACAAACAAAAGTTTGAACCATATTCAAATACATTATCAATAAACACAAGTGACAGTTCTAGTCACTTATCAAAGTTAACACTACAGGGTATGTTTCAAGCATGTTTGCTGGTTTAGATTTCTTTTGAGTATGCACAAAAAAGTGTTATTATTATGAATATCTATGATATGGAGTGTTTGATCAATAAAATTATACCATTTAAAAAATGTAGCACTGAAATGTAGCACTGAACAACCATCCATGAACTGGACTGAGCAATTTTCACTGAAGTGGGGCTGTACTAGTTTCATATTTAATAGTGCAGAGAGTGTGGATGGTTTCAATGTTTTTGTCTAATTCTTGTAAAATATGTGTATTTCCTAAAATGTTTAACTATTCCTTTAAACTGTAGGTAATTTAGATATCATGGTTAACCTATACATCATCATTTGATACTGTGTACTCCTAGAACTCATTGTTTAAAATCAGGTTTGTCCTACCGGGAAAACAAGACAAATTAATTCATCTGTACCAAGTAGTAAAAGTTCTAACTGTCCCTTCTGTCCTGTGCCAGGTAAATGTAGTCATGGAGGTGCAGGTGACCTGTCCAGCACAACAGCTCCCCGCGGTGGCATCAGCAAAGATGAGCGTCGCTTTGACAACGTGGCCCAACACAATGCTGCTGTGAATATAGCCACAACTGCAAGCCAACAGCTAGTGGAGAACATCCGCTTAGCTGTCGGGAATGAAGAATTCCTTAGGTATGATGATGAGATATGAAAAAGTATCTACTTTCGTAATCTACATTAATGAAAGAAAACGGTTTGACATTTCTATAATATATTTTCCCTCTCACAGAACGATGGGAATTGCCCGCTCAGCTGTTGTGTGCTTTGTTATTGACACCACAGGCAGTATGTCTGATGACATCGCCGAAGCCAAGGCGGTTGTCAATGAAATGATTGACAGCAAAAAAGGAACGCAGGATGAGCCTTCTGAGTACATCCTGGTGCCCTTCAATGACCCCGGTATAATTTCTGATTCCCCACTGACGATGTTTAGTCTATAATAGACCCCTATGCCATAGCATGTTTTATATGACTGTATAGTTTTGATAATAGCTATATTTTAGTGGTTAATTAGAAGTCACAGTGGTTGTGTAGGATTAAGTTTAAAAATGTGTTTTCTTATGTAGAGTTTGGACCCATGATTAGAACATCAGATCCTGATAAAATGAAAGAAGAAATCGCGAAACTCAAACCAAGAGGAGGGGGCGATATGCCTGAGATGTGTCTGTCAGGAATTCAGGTACTACAGCTATGCTGGTGTCTTACTGTAACTTGGATTTTAATTAATTAGAGGTGAAATGTTTTTTTATGCATCCCCAAAAGACGGTAGTGATTCAGAATAACCTGAGTAGGTCCATTTATTTTCTACAGTTGGCTCTGACTGGCGCTCCATCTGGCTCTCACATCTATGTTTTCACTGATGCTGCAGCGAAAGACTCTGAACTCAAGGACACAATTATTGCCCTCATCAGGCGCACCAAGTCAACGGTAAACTCTGACTGACACCAGTTATGACAAACAGTCAGACAGTGTATTTACACTAACTGAACTTGAAAGGCAGCAGGCTTGATTTCCACATCAATCTCTACAGGTGTCATTCTTCATGACTAGCTACAGTAGGAGGCGCCGTCGCTCAACCACAGGTGGTGCCTTTCAACAATACAAGGAACTGGCTCTGGCCTCTGGAGGCCAAGCCATCCTGGTGACCAAGAAAGAGCTGCCCCAGGCCACAAGCATCATCCGTGATACGTCTACTTCAGCCCTGGTAGGACTCTGCTGTTCTACTGGTTCATCCTGAACAATCTCGATATAATTTTCATTTTGGCTTGAGATATTCACCGGAATATTCCTTTGCAGATTAAGAGGTATTGTTTAAGCAATTTGTATCCCTTAGATATAAGAGAAAAGTAGCAGTGAAACATCTTATTTAGAAGTACATATGTATATGGTGAAGATCATACATTTTTCCTCCTCTTGTGTTAGGTGACTATTCTTCAGCGATCAGTGAACCCTGGCAAGACCGAGACCTTCAGCTTCATGTTGGACGAATCTCTTCAAAACATCACCATCTACATCACAGACGCTGTTGTTTTCTCACTGACCAACCCTACAGGTAGCTCACCTGTCTCAATGCCATGTTTGCATCCGTCAGTCTTGAGTGTGAAACTTGTTGTATGTGCTTCTGTCTCGTTGAGAATGTTGTTGGAATAGATCTCTTTGTCTAATAAGACATGCTAAACAAATGCAGGTGTGAGCCAATCCAACACTGAGACCAGTGGTAAACTGGGGACAATTCATACAGTTGGCAACCTGAGGAGGATTCTTCTCAATGCTGACAACCACAAAGGAATCTGGAAGGTCAAAATCGAATCCCGAGAACCATACACAGTTAAAGTCACAGGTCAGATGCTACACATTTGTTATACACATGCACTTTCAGTAAAAAAGCACTTTTTTGTGTCCTCTTGCACAGTTTTTTTCATCAGTAGCATATTTATTCCCACCACTATCTATCTATGCAAAGTTTGAGTCTGGAAGTCACAGTTGGCACATGCACTGATTTCTTGTTTGTGTGTCTGTATACTGTATATGCTCATGTGTTTCCAGGTCAGAGTATCATCACGTTTATCTATAACTTTGTTGAAAAGTTCAAGGGACCTCACCCAGGTTATGCATTGCTGAGTGGGCGTCCACAAGCAGGTAAGATGCAATAAATCTGTTTTACTGTTTTAAAACAGCATTACAGTTGTACACCATCTACATGTATTTCAATCAGAGAGAATGTTTTGATGTTTAAACAATATCAAATATGCAAATTATTATCTTGTGCGTTAAAACAAGATGGTTAGAAGTGGAAAAAGGTTTCAGTGTATTTAATAGCTGTAAAGGTGTTATCTGTGGACTGAGCCCCCATTGTGCTATAACAGCACCATCTAGTTGTGAAATGCAGTTAGGCCACCAAAGGTACCTTGTAAGTTACCACTGCCCATGATCACCTCTGCAAACATCCACAAATGTTTTATTTTGCTTCATACTAACCTTCCTCAGTGTTGTCTCCAGCTGTTTTAAAGGCTCATTTAAACCAATTGTACCAAAAAATCAAGGCTTCCTTTCAACACCCATGATTGAATATATGATGTTTATTCTTGAAACAATCAACCACATTTAACCATAAAAAACATTTTCTCATTCTTCTCCCTACCTGGTTTCTCTGCCTGTTTTCTCTGGGAACCCAGGCCAGCCTGCCACCCTGCTGCTTTCAGTAGTGGGAAAGAAAGGTCCGTCCTCTATGACTGTGGGAAACATTGGCCTGATAACTGTGTCTGGCCCTGAGGCTGTGAGCAACAGCACACTGACAGACCTGGGCAATGGAGACATCCTGGTGACTGTTGATGCGGTCCCAGACGGGGAATTTTTGATCATTCTGAATGGAGAAGACACAGAGTCTAAAAGTGCATTTCAGAGGCAGTCCACCACCTCCATGTCCCTGTCCAAAGTGAACATCCAGGTATGTTTCTTCCTGGCAACCAGTGTAACCATTCATGCAGGTTTTGTTTGATAGATGGCAGCAACCATATGGGGTATCCAAAACATACTGTAGGTAAAAACTGAAACAAGTTCAATTAAAAATAGGAACATGCATTTTGGGAGAATAATTGAACCACTCTTCTTCTCTTTCCCTTGTTCTTTTCTTACTTTTTCTCTCTCTCTAGGCTGTGGTTGCCAGCAACATGGAGCCAGGAAAACCGTTAGAGCTCCCATTCAGTGTAATGACCCAGGGACCTGGTGGTCAATACTCCATCATCGCCAAGAATGACAGAGACTTCCCCATGACCTACCCAAGCAGGTGAGGGGCAGCAAAAAAATCCATAAAATATCCCTGTCAGCAATGAGAATAGTTTAATATACCTTACTTTTCTTGCAGAAGTTTCTTGAGGTCAAACACAGTTATGTACAAGACTATTTTAGACATAAGCTAAGAGTTCAGAAAGGTACAGGTCCTGACGAAGATATAATCCACAAAACTGTGAATTGTCTGTGCAGATTAAACAAACCAGATATAATGTAAAAGGTTTAGTATGTAAGATTAAGTTTAAAAGTGATCTATTGGCAGAAGTTGAATATAAAATACCCTTAGTAATGTTTTAACTAGTGTGTTTCATCTAAATTGTACATATTGTGGTTTTCTTTACCTTAGAATTGGCCCTAAAACATGGAGGCCTCCATGTTTTTAAAGTGGTCCAAAGTGGACAAACTAAACACCTTTTGAGATCTGAGAAAACAACGGAACTTCACCACTAGATATTACTAAATTCTACACATTGAACTTTAGTGATGTGAAGACAGAGATTTTTCTTCACCAAATGGACTGAGCCATTTGTGCTAAGCTTACCAGCAGCATGGTGGAGCCTTACAAATGCCACATACAAGGACATGGTGTGAAAAATATATAATGCCAAAAAATGTAATTGTCTCTTAAAATCTCAATTACCCATCCTGCTTTCCTTAAAAACCCTGATTAAAACTGACTGAACAGTATAAAAGTATAAAACCAAAATAGAGGTTGTTTTGATCCGGTGTGGTGTGTAAAAGTAACTTCCGTGTAGTTTCACCCCACCTTCATCAACTGGAGTCAAGGTAAGGGTGAGCTGTGTATTATTACAATTCCCAAAGGCATTACTTGGCCCCAAATTGCCTCTCACTCCCTACAGCTTTAAAGTCAAAAAAGAAATAATTGTATTGCACACAATTAGTTCCTGTAACCAAGAAGGGTTATTTTTCTCTGTCTTTCCTTGACAGCCTCACCTTGACAACTGGAGAACTCATCAATGATACGTTGACCATTACACCACCAGCCGGAACACCATCAGGCACTGATGTCAGTCTGACTATGGAAGCCAGATCATCCACTGGTGCCGACTCCAATTATGTTGTTCTAAGAATGTCTGTTGTTACCAAGGTAACCAGATACATCCTGCATGTGTTTATGTGAAAATATTCTCTTAGCAGCCCTCCATGCATAAATGTATTTTTCCCCTTTCTGTCCAGATTACAGATCTTGCTCCGCCTGTGTGTGAAGGGGTTAAAGTGCTGGCTAATGAATGCCCTCAAGACATGTCTGCATGTGAACTTTTCCAATGGGAGTTCTCTGCCAACCTTACAGATGGAAATGGCACTGGGATAGAACGCATAATCTTGCGAAAGGGTAATGGAACCCTCTCATATACCCCCCTGAACAATACCATCATCCAAACAGAATACAACGCCTCCTGCTGCTCACAGATTGTTGAGTTCATAGCTGTGGATGAAGTGGGCAATGTGGGAAAATGCTATCACTCCATTGTTCGTTCCAGTGGCCAGCCTGCTTTAACTCTGTCAGTGTCACTGTGGTTTTGCCTGCTGGTGTCTACCTTGGTAGTAAGACCCTAAAGGCTTCAGTACAGGTTGCTCAATGTTTTGTGATTGAAAGCTGCAGGTATTGGATGCAGTAATAATCTTTATCCTAAATTCGTTGCAATGTTCTTCTGTCATAGAGTGAAACTTTCGGCTGGTGATGGTCATCGTAAAGTACTTAAATAAAACACAAGAACCAATAAAGTAAATATTCATCAACCACTGCTTTAAGAAACATTTTAATGTTTAGATTAAAAAAACAAGATATGTGCAATAAAAAGGTTTGGGACAAATCTTTGGTTGCAATGTGGTCATTGTAAAGAAGCATTTTATGATGAATCATAGCCATCCAGATAATGGCATTTCTGTGCTATGCAAAGGAAGACACACTTAAGATTTACCCATTCAAATTTACCATTGCATTCATGTAACTTTTCTTGCAAAGTGCTATAATAGATATGATATGTTAAGGGGAAGCAGGAAAAAAAGTCAGTTGATTATCTGAGTTAATAATTATCATCATTATAGCCACATTCATCATGGAAGAACATGGATGTACAGTAAATAATCTTCTATGGACATATTTGACATTTGTATATAATAAAACTTTCATTCATTGCCCAAAGGCAAACTGTTTAGTGCACATGGTACAGTTGGTGTGCTGTGGTAAGAATTTTTAAAGACAAATCCAATAAAAGCAAAGAAACTGTTTAGCACAGTTGGGGTCTTACCTTCAGAAGGCAGAGAACCTCGCAGCAGCAGGTATGACAGACGTAAGCTGCTTTCAGACATGTACCGGACTCCACAGTTCCTCTGAATTTTCTCCAGAGGTGCATGTGTGAACGCAAATGTCCAAGTGAGACTCTCTGCCGTTTCTATGGACTTCGTCAGGAGATCGATGACGCTTGTAACATTAGATTTGCGACAATGATAAGTTGGTAGAGACAAAGTCTTCAGCTCCTTGGCTCTTCTGAAAACTCAAGAAAGTGGCGTGACCATAACATTGTTCCTGCAAAAGGACACTGCTGTGTTTACTGATGTAATTTTTCATTCAACATTCATCTCTGTTCCACTAGAATGTTGGGACAAATCTAAGAGAATGTGTTTTGCATGACTTTATGGGAAGAACAACATTTTAGAATGTAAAAATAACTTACCGATAACCTCATTTTCTCAAAGTATTATACTGACTTTAAAATTACAGACAAAAAGGGCTTGGGTTAGTTGTTCTGTTTGTGACACATTACACACAATACAACATTCTACACTTATCTAAGTTTGGCATGTTTCATTAAAATCTAATCACAGCTACATAGTAAGTCTCAAATCGTCTTTAAAGGGTAGGAGATTAGGTGCTTTAACAACTAATTGCAGAAATAGTACTACTCATTGGTTTTTAAATACAACTGTCTGAAATCAAGATGTCCTTAAGAAAATGAAACTCAACCAACTTTCATACAAACTAAATCAAAGGTTTTTTTGATGAAAAAGTGCAAAGAAAGGGATTAGTTGGACAACTCTACATTTATTACACCTTTTCAGGAACAAGAAAATATACATCTTTTTTTATCTAAATCATATCAACATAAACAGAATATTTACTGTATTTACAATTTCTGAAATGGGGTTTGAATTATAAAAAAAAGGGTCCAACAATTCTTCAATGAGGTTAGAATTAAGAAATGGGAGACAGTTTAAACACGTCTTTCAGACTAAAACAAGGATTGAGTGATCACACCGACACTGCCATAACTACAAAAAAAACATTTTCATTTGCTCCACATCTACATAGCTGACTGTTGAAGCATCTTCTAAGGTGTCTTTACACTCAACCAGAGCAATGCGACATGAACTGAAACCATTGTGCACCTGCTTAAAGCGCATATAGCAATATCAACTATATACATCCTTGTCATTGTAAAGAATGCTAATGAGACTTCCAGACATGATGACTCTACAGTCAAATTTGTTGGCATTAAATAAAGCAAATTCTTTCTTTAACTGTGATGTAATTCTTCATGTCAAGTGTGAAGACGCTTTTATAATCCTTGTTTCAGGTGGTAAATTAACAGAAGCAGTTAACCCCTATTGGCTTTTTTGTATCAGCAGGAGTAAAAGTAGAATACTTACAGAATTAACAACTTATCTAGATTATTAAAACAATTAAAACTATTGACATTTTTACAGTTAGAAAAATACTTACAATTATTTATTTTTTTGGAAAAGAAACACCAGTTATTGTCACATCATCTTTTACTTCTCTCTATCAGTGAATTTTATGCACATTTTTCACATGCTTTTTCAGGTGCCCTGACTGTGTGAAGTGTTTGGGGCAGTGGGGGCAGGAATGTGGTTTCTCTCCTGTGTGGATGTACTTATGCCTTTTCAGGTTATTGAAATCTAAAAATCCTTTTCCACAGTACGAGCACCAGTGTCTCTTCTCCCCGTTATGCCACCTCAGATGTACATTTAGTTCTACTCTTCTAGTGAATCTTTTTTCACAGAGGTTGCATTGGAATGGTTTCTCTCCAGTGTGGATCCGAATGTGGGCTTCCACATCTCGCTTTGTGAAGAAGCCTTTGTTGCAGATCTGGCAGACAAAGGGTTTAATTCTGCTGTGCACCATCTGAAGGTGTTTGGTGAGGCCAAAACGGTAGACAAAGCCCTTCCCGCACTCCTGGCAGATGTGGATCCTACCATTGCGGTGCACCCGGCCATGCCTTTTAAGACCCTTGGGGTCTGGAAAACTCTTCCCGCAAAGCGTGCAAGAGAAAGGTCGCCGTCCTTTATGAAGTCTGACATGGCTCTCAAGGGCAGCACTGCTGCTGAGGATGCGGCCACACTCCCCACACTGATTCTTAAGCAGACGCCCACCAATGACTGATAAGGGCTGTAATGGTGATACCATGGATGGTGCTTTGGTAGATATGGGATTGAGAGAAACACTAGGCTGGTAAATTGCAATATGATTCTGGGGTCTTGAAGATCTTGTCTCTTTCTTCAAAGGTAACAGAGATGCCTTTCCCCCTGCTGATGTTCTGCTGGCTGGTATTGTAGGAGGAATCCACACAGCTTGGGTCTTATATCTTTTATCTGTTAACTGGCTTGTTTTAGCATCATTCTGAAGTGTGGATTGATTGGAATTTGTCATTTTAGCTAATGTTGTGGCTTTTTCATTAAAAACTCTTAAATTCTTTTCAGGCCCTGGCACTTCTTGAATCAATCTGGGTTTCTTAGCAGGAGTGGTTTCTGCAGTCTTTCCACAGCTGACACCATCTTTAGCCAATTTAGGCCAACAAACATACGAGGAGCCAGACTGACTGTTTGGCCTAGCAATATCACTAGCTGTGGTTTTCCTCCAAAGACTAAAAGGACTGGATTCTCTTTTAATCTGTCTAGTGCTCGAACTGTGTTGGGTGAAATCCGACCTATGGCTGTCATTAATCATTTCACTTGTAGACATTTTAAATTTTGCAGCGTTTTCACTTAAACTAGATTTCCGGGGAGTAACAGCTGAGGCTTCAGCCTTTTTAAGACTTGACTGTTCTCTAGTTGAACAAGACCTTTTAGGACTCACAGAAGAGGATTTAGTCTGTTTAAGGATAGCATCATCTCTCGTTGAACTATTCCTCTCAGAGGTGGGTTTTGTATTTTTAAGGCAAACACTGCTTTTTGTCTGTTTAGGGTTAGCACCATCTTTAGTTGAACTAAGCCTTCGAGGAGTAACAGAACTGCATTCAACAGTTTTAGAAGCTACACTAGCAATACCTGAGCTAGACCTTCTACCACTTTTAGGAGTGGTTTCACTACTAAGCTTTGACCTTCTAGTGGGTACACTTACGATCCTCTTGGGTGCAATGTCTTCAACAACACAAGACTTTTTAGGTTCAACAGGAATATGTTCAGTGGTTGTGTTTGTATTATTTGGATTGTCATTGTGTGATCTAAGTTTCTTAGGACTCATAGCAGTGGTCTCTGTTTCTGTGCATATTTCTGGCTTTAGTTTGGTTCTTCTGGAATGCAAGTGAGTACTGATGCGACTTCGGAGTCGGGCCATGGTGGTGCTTTTCCTGCCACTAGTGCTGGATTCTGCACTAGAAGCTCCTGTATCTGCAACATGTTTGGAGGAGGCCTACAAAAAAGGCAAAAAGAAAAACAAACTTAGAAATAAGTTTTAACTCAAAATAGCAGATATAATCTAGACACTAGGTTTACATTCCTACCACAAAGGAATATGACAAAAATGCTTCACTGTTGAAACTGAAATAAGTCGGTTACTTCATTAGCCAATGAACAGAAACTAATCAGCAACTTCTGATACTCTATAAATTTCATTTCAGTCTTTATCAAGGATTTATTAAAAAAACATGATTAATAAAAGGGTCCTAGCTTGTAAAACCAGAAGAATTACTCTGCTTCTCTTTGTCATACATCATTGCAAATTGAATACCATTTAAGATAGAGAGACAGTTTTTTCTATCATCACCTTGGGCTGTGGGAAGATGTATGGCATTGGTTGCTCTTTTTTAAGCAAGTAAACAAGAAGATAATAGTCAGAATAATTGAAAATAAAAATCATTAGCTGCAACCCATTCTCCATTATGCCCAATTGAGGCTGCATGAATGTGTGGTCATCAGTGCATATTATCTTTCTCATAAAAATATTATTTTTGACAGTTGCAATAATTTTACTTAGCAAATTGGGTTTGAGTGTTTACCTCTCTGGGGGCTTGAACTACAGGTGACACTGCCAGCTGTGCCAGGAACTGGGTTTTAGTCATTTGCAAATGACGGTCAGATTTGTCCTTGGATGAGATGGAGATTAGCTGTATTGGGTTAACTGATCCTTTCTCTGCTATTGGTGCGTTGTCAGAAGGTGCACAACCTTGCATTGCATTGCTGATGGCTTCTGTTGATATGTCCAAGACTGGTACTGACACCTTGAATGGTGTAGGGGGCACATACTCACTGTTGTGCATATCTTGAATGTTATTTTTCTCTTTGGACATCTGAGAGGTATTGAAAGACATAGAAACTGCAGTGTCTTTTAACCTGGGACAAATCTTTGATGGCTGTCGTAGTATGTCCACAGGTAATCTACCTTGTGTGGCACCCTCATTCAAAACTGAGCGTGATTCAGGAAATCCATTTGAGAGCAGTCTTGAGACCGATACTGATTCTTTGGTTGATACAGACATTGGCAGCCTGATTAATCTGACCACTGCAGAGAGTTTTTGTTCCAGTTGAGATACAGAACAAGTTATTTTTGGTACATTTGTTGTTTCAAAAACACGGGCAGTTTGTTTGGGAGATCCAAGGTTTGAAGAGTTATTATCCTTCTTTTGAGGTGATACCGTAGAAACAGCAGTTTTTCCAACCACTGAATAGGTTGACTCTTGCGACAAAGAAATCAGTTGTGGTGATGACACTGTCACAGCATCAGCTGGTTCTGCTGACTTCTGCATTGCTGTAAGAACATTCTGTGATTGACGTGTCCCTGATGCAACAACTGAAACCTGTCTTTGAATTATAATTGTTTTTAAGTGGGGTAGAAAGCCTGAGTGCTGGTCTGTAGAGGTGGCCGTCGACTGCGAAGGGACAACGGGAAGTGACTTCCTGGAGGCAGCATATATTGTTTGCTGAGGGAGGGAGGAAAAGGAAGGTCTGTCTGTAGAAGATGAAAGTAAACCATTTTTCTGTGCAGCAACAGTTTTTGGGGACAGTGCAGCAAACTTATACGGCATTGATAAGCTTTCTGGTCTTGGCACAACAATTATTTTATTTGGCTTGTCATTACTCGATTTGCTTGGTGTTATCCATCTTATCACAGGACGGGGAAAACCCTGCTGTGAGTGCACACTTGTTTGAGTTGCACAGGTTGATGAGGGCATTTGCTGAGTGGCAATATTGGATGGTGTGACCGAATGTTTTTCAGTGATATGCTGAATGTGGGGCTTGGCTTTATTGGTTGAAGTTGAATCTTTTACTGGAGGACTAGTGCTAAGTGTCTGTACACTTGATTGTGTTGTGGACAGCTCTGTTATGGCTACACTGCCTACAGCATCACAAGTTTTAGAAGAAAGTGTCTGTGGCACTGTCGGGATCTTTTCCATAGTTTGTAAAGTATCCATGTGAGGAACAACCTGGGTTTGGGGTGATTCTATCATTCTTTTGAAAGAGGATACTGGATTTCCCCCTGTTGACAGATTCATGGCTTCAACGAGTAACAATGCGTCCTGAAGCGTTACAGAGGAACAACGTTCTCTGAGCGTAACTGATGATGCTTGTGGTGACTCCACTGGTCGAGAATTTAATGTTTCAGTTGCGGATGAATTTTCAGTGGGTGAAGCTTCCATTTCCATGGAACACTGTTGAGATCCAGACGTTCTTTCCCTAGTCATAGATTCCACTGAAAAAGGCAAAGAACCAAATTCACTGTTCTCCATGTCTCCTACAGCAGATTCCATAGTTCTCTGCAGAGCTGGGGATACTGGAGATGCAGATTCGGTGGTGTTAACTTTATCAATGGCAGAAGAAACCGCAACCTCTTCCACTCTTACTGAAGGGGAATTTAACACGTCTTGTTCGGTTGTTGCATCCGTTTCTTTGACAGGCTGCTGTAGATGTTTTACTTTCTTTGGTGGCCGTCCTCGTCTACGGCGTACAGGTTGGGTATTAGAATCACTTTCTGCCAAGCCATTTTTTAGTTCTTCACATGCTATTCCTGTGTTTTCTGTTGTGGGCTCTGGTAAAGGTTCCTCTGTACACTGCACATCTGCAGACTGCTGCACAGCAGTGTCCGTCTGCTCACTTATTGACATTTCAACCTCTCTGTGGCATTGTAGTGGGACCACTGATAGTTGCTCCTTTTCAAGTTCAACCATTAATTGTTGCTGAGCAGTCGCAAATGTTTGTTCTTCAGACTTTACAAGCTGTCCCTCTGTCTTGTCCCCCGTGTCACATTTTATTGTGATAACGAGTGGATGCTCTGGTTCAGATGGTTGGCTCTGGGCTCCTGGTAAATCATTATCCATTCCATGACAGCGTAGTTCCAAGGTGACTCTAGCCTCTTCATCATTTTCAAACATCTCTCCAGTTGAACCTATGTGGTTAATGAGAGACCCTTCATTTTCATTTCCACAAGCAGTGGCCCATGCTGACCCCACTGTAGCAGTGATAAGGATACCATGGAGGATAAATGAAAAAGAAAAAAAGGTTTTATTTTAACCAAATTTGACCAAATTCTGCAGAATGTATCAAATTCTACAACTTATTCAACTGTAATTGAGGAAAAAAAGTAATTTTCTCTCACCTGCATTTGAGACTTTGGGCTCAACGTCCTCCTGCTTTATGACAGGCAGCAATGAAGAATTATCATGAGATTCCTGTGGAGAAGTCAAACTAATTTCAGTGTCAAGGTGTCATATGCAAACAAATGAATAAGTCTGCTGGGATACATACGTACCTCTTCTGTGATAAGCATAAATGTCATTTGGGAATTTGCATTCCCATAGTTGTGATCCTGTAACCTCTTCTCCATCCCACAGTGACAACACTGTTGCTGTTCAATTTGCAATGATGAATATCCCAATGACTGACACTGTTCCACCAGCATGGTGCGTAAAGGAACAAGGTCTGTGAACATAAAAAAAAAAGATTGGTGGTCATTTTTTTTAAAGTAATGTTATGGATATAATGGAAGCTGCATGTTACTCCAAAACGCTGTTTGAACTGTATGACACTATAAAATCACATCCTGACATCATCAGTGGAAAACAGTATCTAACCCTTCTGCTCGCCAAGACAGCACAGTATGGTTTCCCTCCTGGTTTGGATCCCACGCTTCAAGACTGAATGCTGAGCTCCCCATAAACCAATGTACAGGAGATGCTATATATAAACATCACCTCGCATCAGCAGTTAATAAAATAGTTCTAACTGTTTGTGTTTCTCTGACCCACATCTCCACTCACCACACTGCACAGCTGTGTCACGTTTCTCAGAGGAGGTCTGCGGAGGAGCCCGGTTTTCTCTGCTGTAAACAGTCGACTGTCTCTCCTCGAACTGGCTGCATCTTGCTCTGAGCTCCTCGTTCTCCTTCTTGATTCTGGAGATCTCTGCCTTCAGCTCGTCGACCATAGTTTCGAAAAGTTCGTTGGTCTCCGCGATGGCACTCTTGAGCATGCTCTCCATCACGGAGGCGTACTTGGTCTGAAAATCGTCCGTGGACATCGTGGGGTTTGAGGGGTCGTCCCTGGGAGTTTGCTCCTCAGACCGAGGATTTGCGTTGTGAAGCGCACAGGATCGGGAGCTGCTCCAACATGGCTCCTTCCCGTTGTCAAATGCTTAGTGTGACGCACAAAGCAGAAGTCCATCGCTACTTCCGGTTGATCCGCTTCTATCCTAATCTGTGTTTTCAAACATTCCCCTGTCGTAGTACATTCAAATACATGCTAATAATTCTAGTTAATCATCAAGATAAACGCCCCTCGTGTCGCCAATGTGCATACTTTAATACCACTTCACGACAGCTCATGATTGTCCCACTTCACTACCCGTACGTGTAAATCTCGGAAGTGCCGTTGTTTACAGAATCAAGAGGAAGCGTGAAAGCTCATCAGTGTGCGACGATAGATCGCAGCGGAACCATCCGGGTTATCTGTGCTAAAAGGCAAACACTGCAGCGGACACGAACTCTATTCGTGACAAATGTGGCAGGTTAATGTTTTCATTGAATGCGTTTCAGGCGGTGTTCGTGTCTAAACCAGCGCAGCAGGCTAGTTAGCTAACATGGGCACCTCCAACGACTCTGCTGTCTGGTGACATTCTCTAAAAGCAACCATCGGGTGAACGCAGACCGTCAAATATATGCCTACAGATTGTTTAACATCGAGAGGTTTGCGTTAAGTGACATCAGTTTTGAGGGACGGTCCGTGGATGTGGACAACACATGTCTCTCACTCCACAGGAGCTTTCAACACGCTTCTACCCACTGCACTGGAAGTGATCGGCTGAGTTTGTCACACACTGTTCGACACTATGGCAGAGACCATAGTGACGTTTCAGTCCCAGCTGTCCGGTGTGATGGAAACCGTGTTCAAGGCTGCCATGTACGAGATCACCCGGCTGGTGGAGGACAGCTTCCTGGAGGAGGTGACCCGGAGCAGGGAGCAGGTGGAGTCCCTGAAGAGGAGACTCCGGTGGTCCGAGAGTCGACGCAAGGAGAGAGAGGGAGACCGGAGAGGGAGGTGCGTGGACTGCGGGAGAGTCGAGGAGAGACCCAGGGCTACAGGTGAGTCTCATTCATATTCAGCCCCCATTCACTTGATCATACGTGAGTCTAAATTCATTTCCTAGGAACCACATCAGCACACTCTTTTAATTATCAAACCTGGATGGACACTGGAGTTTACACATGTGTCTGATCACACTGTTTGTGTTTGAGGAAGAGAGCAAGCGGGACAGCCGCCAACATTGTACACACCAGAGTGTAAGCATTGGATAAATTGGCCATGTTTTTGCAAAAATGTGAGAGTTGTGCAACATACCAGATGTGCAGGCTTGCTGGATTGAATTGTTTTCTTGGAATGTTTTGATATTTTGGAGGAATGGAGTAAGATGAATGCCCCATCTGCACTTTTTCAAATCCTCCAAATGCAGAGTAAATCTTTCATATTGTCTAATTTAAAATCATCTCCCTTTTCTGTCACAGAGAAAGGTTTGAAACAAGAGAGTGTGCTGCAAGAAGAGATAAATAGCTGTCAGGGCACTGATGTGGCGACACATGACCATGAAGTGGAAGACACAAAACCAGAGAACCATTGCACTATGAGGGCAACACAGGTAGAGTGCAATACTAATTTTTCGATAAAGTAAAATGGCTGTTCATTTCTTCTATCTCTTGAGAGGTGCAGAGTTAAACTTCCTGTATTAATCCTGTCATTCTGCTTATCTGCCAGTCTCCAGGTGTACAAGGTGAAAAGTTGGAAAGACTGCTCAAGGAGGAAGCCCTTCACATGCCGTCAGAAACCAATGAGTCCCAAGAGAGATGGGGAGTCAATCTGGATGGTCAGTGTGCAGATACTGAACGAGTCTAACAAGCTGTTTTTCAAAAGCAATCTGTAATAGTATCAAATTGAGTCACGTGTAGGTGCTGTGGCTCAACACAGCATTATCCAGTAAAAAGAAGGAAAAATGAGAGACAAATACCCAATAATATTACAAAACTAAATTAAGTCTTACATTTCATTCTTTCAGAAAAATACTACAATAAAACAAACATGCATAAAACACACACTAAATCTTCACAGGATATTTCTTGCAGAAGAAGCACTGAAATTGACAAATATCAATGCTTTCACTTTAGGTTAAGGTTTAAGTAACTTCACATATATATACAAACCACAGAAATTAAATAGGAAATACAATTCTTCTCTTTAGAGGGAAATGTCTGCACAGATAGTTTCCAAAAATATTTTAGTGATTTAGAATATTTCCTTTTACTCACTTCATAGAAAAGTTTACAAATTGGGAAAGTGGGAAATATAATATTTGAAATAAAAGTCTCCTCTAATCTACATAAGGTTGAATAATTTACATAAAATTGGGTTATCTAAAATGCCCTGTTCATAACAACATGAAAAGTGCAGAGACATATCATTACTACAGCTACTGGTATATTGGAAAATATAAACAACATCATTCACATTTTCAATGCTGACTTTATCATTATTGTTCCTGTACAACTATAATGCTTCTTTTCCTCTTTTCATTGGACAGAAACGGATACATCAGGTTTGCCAGGACCCAGTAAACGCTTCAGTGACAACAAGATCCCAAAGTGTCATGTGACCTGGGATGCTGGCTTTGACCAGAGACCAGACCCTGGCCAACATGGACACTCGGGCGACCCGTCCGAACCACTTTTCCCAAACAGGTATGACATGGAAGACTTGGCTGGCTTTGACAAGACAGGCTATGGGGAGGCCGGCATGATAGAAATGGGCAACTTGGATGGGTTACAAGTATCACCGTCCCACCTGGGTAAGGATCTGAGTTACATGGGACATTATGAGGGGAATGTGGAAGCACCTGAAGTAAATGAGCATCAAGCGTACCAAACAGGAGTCCCACGGAACAAAAGAGGTACGGTCAGTTCACCTGCAGGCTCACCCTCAAGGACTAACATTACTGTAGGTCGAGAATTCAGCTGTTTATTAATTAATGAGGAAGGGTATCTGCAGGACCCGGGCATGTTGTACCCTGACCATGTGTCTGGTGATCCAGGTGGCAGATTTCGGGACCAGGGGATTCGAACTGATCCGACTTTAGACAGCACAGAGGATATGTATGGTGCCTCCGATTCATACGGTGACACCTTAAACCTGGGAGAGAGGCTGCAGCATCAGGGAGCAGGGCGAGGAGGGAGGAGACACATTTGTAACCTGTGCTCCATGTCGTTCCCTGATTCGGCCTCTCTCAAAAGTCACAAGCAGACACATAAGGGCACAGGACAAGGGCCGCCATACTCCTGCACCCAGTGCGGAAAGACTTTCACTCAAGCCTGTAACCTCAAAGTCCACCAGAGGATTCACTCTGGTCAGGGGCTCCACCTCTGCAGCCATTGTGGAAAAGGTTTCCCTTCTTTCTCTGAACTAAAGACACATAAATGTGGCCAAACAGGCGACAAACCGTACTGCTGCACTGTGTGTGGGAACAAGTTCAGCCGACTCTGGAATCTGAAGCTGCACCGGAGAATTCACACACAGGAAAAACCTCACCGGTGCACCATGTGTGACAAGAGCTTCACAAGAGCGGATATATTGAAGGTTCACCATCGCACCCACACGGGGGAAAGACCATACTGCTGCGCTGTGTGTGGGCTCAGCTTCAAACGCCTCGATCATCTGAAATCACATCAGCGCAAACACATGTCAGACCTTTGAACCAAGGGGTGCTTTGATAATTTAAGAGGTTTTTTGGAAGTCACGGTTGTTTTTTAATGAACATCGCAAAAACTCAGTCTTTTCTATTAGGATAACTTTTTGTTATTCTTATCCAAAAACGGCTGTGAGAAATATAACTGAATTAACATCAAATACCAATTTTTCTGCTGCATATTTTGTTTATGAAAAATATATTCAATTAAGACTGACGGACATCATCCTTGTGACTACTTTACAGATTGGAAATTAAGTTAAAAATTAGTTTATTTCCTCCTCATTCTTTTATCATTGGTTTTGTCGTCCTTTTCTGTAAATGTTTTCTGTAAATAAAATCAATGAGGCCAAATTCACGAGATATAATCTCATCTTCAGCACATCGTTGTTCGATCTGTTTTTTTTTATCAAGTACCTTTTCTGAGAGTAGTGTCATTAAAGCATCAGTCTTGATCAGGAAGAACCTCTTCTTTTGGCACGGTAAAACGTAGAATTGGATCTCAATGTCAATCAAACACATACAGTATGTTTACTGAGAAATAAATAAATCAAATTATAATTAAAAATACAGTGTTTGTTTATTTAAAATAATGACATTATGTCAACAATGTGAAGCTCATGGGGCAGAAGGACATGCAATGGTTCTCATAGATTATCTATAACTAGGTCATATAACTAGCGCAGATACTAATGGTACATATTCAAATGCATTAAGCTTTAATATTTATGCAGAATTGATACATATTATGCATATTGTTGTTATATATGGAAAATTATAGGGGATCTTAAGCTTAAGAAGGAAGTGATGGTGGTGACAATTTCATGATCATGTGTGAGAAGAATAGAAATTGTTGGAGGGTTCTTTTATTTCAATAGTACTCAAGGTCACATGACACATTTTCCTTGAAGGAAGATGGAGGTTGGTTCAGGGGAGAGAATGTAGTAAGAAGTGGATTTTTTGGGGTTTTAAGAGAAGGACCCACTCAAAAGAATGATCTCAGAATTATCTTAGAAGAATTTAAATCGAATTTGTTTTACTGAGAGTGAGATTTAAAAAAAAAAGTGAGAAACATCCGGACTTCTGAACAGTATAAGGAGGATTAACCGATAAAGATGCATAATAACAAGCATAATTCACCAAACAACACCTATTAAACAAAGTACTTGGCAGGATAAACTATTTGAATGCTTGTTTTCTGTATTAGCATGTCACGTGTATAGAGAAACACAGTGTGCTGAAGCTCAAAGTTCACAGTATTCAACAGTTCAATTTTCTGTCTTTATATCGACCAAGCCTTCTTTAGGCAGTAATAACCTCAAACAAGGGCCTCCAATAGCTGTGGACTAGACATGCACAATGCTCAGAAGGAACTTTTGATACCTGCCTTAGCTCAGCCATAATCTTATTGTCTAGTGTGCACATCCTTTAATTTTTATACTGAAGCAGATCTGCAGTACATTGACTTGGTGTTGAAAGACATTGTCCTGCTGCATCACCACCATCACAACTTCTAATGAGCTTCAGCTAATGAGGCCACTCTTACATCTCCCTGCTTGAAATCTCAATCAACTTCGGAATTTAGTGCAAAACTCAGAGGCAGTAAAGTGCCACAACCTCATACTCCTTCCGCCATACTTCTGCTGTTTGATGATATATCTGCCTGTTTTATGCCTTACATAGGGCAGAGTGTGCTTCTTAAACAATTCAACCTTAGATTCATCAGTCCACAAAACATTGTTTGATCAGTGTTGTAGATTGTGAAATTGGTTTTTGGCAAATTTCAGGTAGACACTGATGTTTTATTCATTTTTTTGAGAGCAGTGGCTTCCTCTGTGGTGTCTTGCTCCAGGCAGCATTGTGCAGTGATTCGCTTTTGGAAAACTCATAAACAGAGATTAACCAGCTCTAACGATTCCTTTAAAGCTTTCGCTGTAGTTCTGAGGTTGATATTTTTTCTGCTTGGATCAGTCTGTTGTATTTTCGAAGCCACCTCAGCTTGATGCCCGCTTTTGAGAGTATTCACATGAGTAGATTAACTCCATTCCAAATTTGTGTCACTGTGGACTGATGAATAACTAAACTCTTTAGCGTCCAGCGTTAGTCAAATACACCTTTCCCTCCTCTGAGATCACACTTTTTCTTTCAACTTGTAGCACCCACACGCTCCTTGTGATGTGTTGCACAACAGCCACAATCATCATCACCCTGAACAATGATCCTGTGCTCTTCTACTTGGTGCAGCCTATTGGTTTCACTTATTGAAACGCGTTTTGTCATTCAGCCTCCACGTAGGGCCACCGTACTGCGTCACGTACGACGTCACGTACGACATCACGAGCACAAACAACGAGCACCAGCGTTAGTTTAAACAAATCAAGCTAGGTCGGCTAACTGACAGGTACACGTGAATTAGTTTTGCCGGATCGTCGTCAGCTGTGGAAACTACTCACGCACACCGACGTAGTTTAACGCGTTAGTTTGCACTATGGTGTGTATCATTCGTAGTTGTGTGCTTTTTGTTCACCGTTTGGTGCCGCTAACGTTGGTTAGGTGTACGGATGCTACAGCTAAGCTAAGGTGTCACATCGTAGCTTGCTAGCTGACAGGACGGTGGTCAACAACAACATCATGTATCGCGGGATAGAGGCAGCTCTGCGATAATGGCGAACAACCATAACAACACGTGGTAGATCTTGGTCTGTCTCGTTTATTGACCAACTCAAGACACGTCGTGTAATCGGGACCGGACACTGCCAGAGTCCGTCATGTCGGACCTGGACTCTCTCATAGTCACCTTTCAGACGCAGCTCTCGGATGTGATGGAGACTGTGGTGAAGACCGCCATGTTCGAGGTGACCAGGCTGGTGGAGGACGGGTTTCTGAAGGAGGTGGAGGCTCTGAGGATGCAGCTGCAGTGGACTGAGAAGAAGTTAAGCGACAGAGAGGGAGAGAAGACAGGGAGGTGTGCGGACTGCGCTAAGAGGGATGTGGACCTGTCCACGGACACAGCAGGAGAAAGGTGCGACGACCGGCGTGACGGTAAGAGCAGGGGACACACGAGTGCAGATGTATCTCAGGGGATAACTGGTGTGATACTGCAGTGGTTCTTTCCTCCAGATGTGCTGAGGGGCTGTGGCGTGAAGAGAGAGGGGAGTCCCGTGGAGAGATGGACGCAAGGCCACAGAGAAGTGGTATCTGAGCCGCCACAGGAAGCAGACAACACTTCAGCTCCCCCCAGTCCAGAGAGGGAATCACAGGTGGGCTGCTTCATGTGACTGTGACCTCTGGTGTACACGTGTTGTTTTTGTGGTCTGATCACAAGCGGACAGCTCTAAGTACACAGGTGTGAACACACTCTGATCAAGACAGACCACATTCTAAGGTGGTCTGGTCCACATGTGTCCACGTTCTGTTAGCAGTTTGAACGCTAATCTGTCCTGGGCCACATATGAAGGACCTCCTACTGACGTCAGATGTGCCGCTGCAGTTTCATTACGGATCAAACATATTTTCTCTCTTCTTGTTAATTTGTAACCACCGCCACAATATCAACTCTGATCACCACATAATGATTGACTCTCCTTAAATTGCTAAAATCTTTATTCATTCATATTCTCCTCGTCTCTCCACCTCTCTGTTGCTCGCTCACGCCGACACACACACGATACGATACAATATACTTTATTGTCCCTTTAGGGAAATTTGTTTTGGATTCAAATGCTGTGTACATATGCTTCCATATTTCCAAAACAAGTTACACAGCAGCACCAACTGTGTCGATCACAACATTAAAATGCACATAAAATGTTAAAGTAAATAAAATATTGCACACACCGCATTGAAAAACACATTGCACGTAGCACATGTTGCACCAACCCATAATAAAACCCCATAACACTATTGCACAATCTCAGCATCATGAAGCAGCGCTATTTAAAAGTGTGACGGAGGTAGGAACCAATGAGTTTTTATTGTGATTGAGTTTACACTGGGAGACTCTGTATCTTCTGCCAGAGGGCAAGAGCTGATATTCTTTATGAAGGATATGTGATGGGTTGGTCAGCTGCACAGTTAGGTTGCCATACCATGCTGTATGTGACACACACACAGTGACATCAGACACATCTGTAAACTCTGACTCAAAATAACTGTTTGGTCTTAAAGGGACAGTTCACTTAAACAAGTTAACATTAAAATGCGTCCTGGATGTGTCTCCTGTGACCACTTGTGATCGGATCTCACTTTCCTGCTCAACTTGCAAATGAACACTTATGTCATTCTGTCAGTTATAGGGTTAGTTCACTTACAAATGAAAGTTCACTCAATATCTTCTCAACACTATGCCGATGAAGTGGTGGGGGAAGTGTTTGTGCCCACAAAACACTTCTGATGTCTCTTTGTAGCAGCCCAATCCAATCCAATTGAAGTAAATGGTGACTGAGACTTCAGACGTAATAAAACAACAGAAAAAACAAAACATGCCCCCATACTTGTGTTGACAAGCCCCGACATTTATATACAGCTCAAAACAAGTTCATTTTCATCTGTTTTAAGCCTAAAGGTCCACCAGAAGTGGCTAAGCTAGTGGACTTAGCTACATGATGTTGTGTCAGAGGGTCCGTGAACGCACCTCATAGAAAGATTTATCAGCGGACATTTAGGATTGAAAGATCAGAATTGTGCTCACATATTAATACATTTGATTGTTTAAACATAATAAATGCTGCAAGTGTTTAAGTGAATGAGATTGTACATGTGAAATCAACTCTGAAAACTTTGAACTCAATACCTTGTATGTCCTTTATCCTCCTGTACTCTTTTATTCTGTGTATTGTTCAGGCAGCAGAAGAAGAGGAAGTGGTGCCGGCTGTGGATGTGAAGGAAGAAGAAGAAGGTACTAAGCCATCTTGCTCATCTGTGCATATGGGAGGGTGGAGCGATACTCTTGATGGTGAGTATCATGTGAGTCCTTTGTGGACCTTTGTTTTGAGGTATTTGGGAGTTCAAAAACTGCATTAGCATGTAAGATCATAGATGTCGATTATAGATGCTTAAGTGGAGCCGAACAACCAACTACAACTCCACACACCCAGCTGTTGGTACACCAACCCCAGAAAACAGTGACCGCACTGAGTCTGGTAGCACAGGGGTCTCTCGTGGAGACTTCACATATATTCCACTGCTTTGTGCAGTTTCTGAGCTGTGCTTCTTTTGTTACCTATCAACATACACACGTGGATATATCTGCAGTAAGCTAATGCTTCGTAGATTTATCATTCTAGCTCTATGACACTTATGTTGTCTGGGCCTGTATATGGAACAGTCACAATTATATAGTTAGGATTAATTGTGCAATAACAGACATGGGCTGTCGTTTTACAAATGTCACATGTTAGCAGCAGAGGAGGAGGCGCCACAGACGAGCAGGGCAGGGACTACATTCGTGTGGGGTTTGGGGGTGTTTTAATATATTTGAATGAATTTGACATGATACACAATTTGATTTTTGAAGAAACTGACATCCTTAGCACATACATAGATCTCGAGAGGGTGATCCATGCCTTCATAACCTCTCTTGACTGCTGCAATTCCCTGTATGAGAATGTGGGCATGGACCATATTACTCCTTTGTTGTGCATCACAGGATCGATTTTAAATTTTATTTACTTTTAAATCTTCTAAAGGACCACCTTACTTAGCCAAACTTCTCCACATTAGATCTGCCCCCTCTCTAGCACACTTCAAATCTCCTTGGCTTTAGTACGTTTTTATCCCAGCTGATTTTATTTTATTTTATTTGCATATCTTATATTTAATTTTAATTGTTCTACTTTCTATCTTATTTTATTTTTACTACTTGTACTCTAATGTATTACATGTTACTGTCTTCTTGTTGTGCCTTTTACTTGTGAAGCACTTCGGTCAACCAAGTTGTTTTAAATGTGCTATATAAATAAAGAAACATTACTTAAATCATTCAAAATGGGATTTAATGATGATAATAATATGGATTAATTTTGAATACAAAAATAACCTTTGATTTTGCCTCAAGGTAACATAGAAATAATTACATACAAATAATTAAAACCTTTTTTTCACTCAGTTTCTAATTACTACATGTCTATTCTCATAGCATATATCTATTTCTTAATTTCTAGAAGAGCTATGCCACTAAGGAATAATCATTAAATTATGTTGCACTTTAAAACAGCTATAAAGTGCTTCACATATAGGTTCAAATAAGCCCAAATACTGGAATACATACAGACGAGCATACTCCCATACACATAGGCATCAATTACGCATTTAACCAAAATAACTAACCAATACCTTAGAGTGATTAAAAAAAGACTAATCTATAGAAATTAGTTTTCAGGAGCTTCATAAAACAAACCAGAGATTCAACACATCTGAGTGAAGAGGAAGTCCATTCCAAAGTTTCGAAGTAACAACCTCACAGTCACCTCTGTATTTTAAATAGGAACAGGGAACAGATAACAACAGGCCTCGAGCAGATGAGGAGAGTCCGTCCACTTGAATAAGGGCTCAACATCTCGGCTTCATCAAGTATTTTCTCAGTAATTTCTGCAAAAGGGAACTGATTTTAGAGCATTTTTTAATTTCTTACTTGTATAAAAATCTCATTGTGCCTATTAATCCCTCCATGTGGGAACTTTTTCTCTGTTGCTGGTGGATTTGAGAATACATCTGCTGCTGTGGCTCGTGGACAGAAAGGTTAATATCTTCACATGCAGGCAGTTTCTCAAATTTATGTTGCACCAATGCACTTAGCTTCTGTAATAAACAGAATTAGATCATCAATCCTCTTACATAGTTAGGCTTATTTCATCCAAAACAATTTCAGTGGATGGAATATCATGTATTCACATATTTATTATGCTGACCTCATTAGCCGTGACAACTACAGACTTACTTTTTTGGTTAGTGTCTACAGTTGAAGTCATTAATATAACCCCCGTTTCTATTCATTATCCAGGCAAGGCAGAACTGGAATCACAAAGCACAACCGAGAGGACTGAGACACAACCACAACAGACTCCAGAGAGCAGTGAGGAGCTGTTGAGGGATATCATGATGCAAGGCTCACAGATATCTTCAGCATTTGGTTTCCCTGAAGAAGTAGAGGAAACGCACATGGCTGCAGATCCATCACATGTCTCAGCTTTGGAAATGGACACTAGTTGGACTGGGCTGCTGCTGAATCACAGACTTGGGACTGAAAATGATCACGATTCAGCCAAAACTAGAGCTTCACTAAAGCGTACAGAAACTGAGCTGTCTGAATCTGTACCAGCAGACCTTCATGCTCAGGTTACCCAGAGTGCAACGTCAGGATCCTCTGAAGCAAGACTGCAAAATAGCAAAACATTGGGTGTGAGAATAAAGCAGGAAATAACTATTGATTCTGACGGCTGTGAAGAAAGTGAGCATCCGGAAACGAAAGAAATTCCAAAGTCTGGAATGAAGTCTTTCTCATGCTCTTTAAAACAGCACAGACTGAGTTCCGAAGCACACAAACGGAACCACATTTCCCATAAAGCCACTCTGCAGGAGGTTATGAAGCTGCATTCCAAAGCTGGTACAGGTCTTAAATTGCAAGCAGCTTTACAGCACCTCCACCGACCATTGAAAAAAAACCCTCACACTCTCTCGAACAGCAGCACATCAGCTTCGTCTATAGCTCATTCTCAGGTTGTGAACTTAAATCCCCTCAACAGAATTCCTTCCACATCCAAAGCTGCCCCACCTCCTCTGCTCTCGGCCCAGCGGGTTCACCTGGTAGACAAACAGGCTGCGCCACTCAACCGAACCGGTGCTCCGTGGGTCAGCGTCAGATCCCAGCATCAGTCTGCCATCTCACATCACGCCAGCCCCGTACCCCACACAGACTCTCACACTGGCCCCAGGAACCTCCTGCGCTGCAGCCAGTGCGGAAAGTGCTTTCCACACCCCAGCAACCTAAAGGCTCATCTGCAGACTCACACAGGTGAGCGACCTTTCTGCTGCTCGCTCTGCGGTCGCAGCTTCACCAAGCTGAGCAACCTCAAAGCCCACCGCCGGGTCCACACTGGGGAGAGGCCGTACTGCTGCTTGGCTTGTGGCAAACGCTTCACCCAGAAATGCAATCTGAAACGTCACCAGAGGATCCACTTGGATGTATGATGGTGGACAGATAGTGACAGAAATACACTATTGTTGTGTTTTTTAAGATGCTACAGTATAACACAGATGCTGTGATGCATTGCAAAAATCCTTTATGTGTTCTCGTCTCTTGAACTGATCGTCCCAAGTTCTTCTGTGAAATCCAGATAGACTGATGTAGTAACTTCTGGAGATGTGTTAATGTTATTTAAAGGCCCTAAAGGCAGTGTGCTGTGAAATGTATTGTGCACAAAGATAGGTCCATTGTCACTTTTGGTCAATAAAATACTATTTATTCTGTGAACACTAATAGTCTTTCATTATATCAATTGTGCAGTGTCACTTATAAAAGTGACATTTTAAACTCAAAAAAGCTTAATGATAAAATCCTTTATGGCTGAAATAAATATTTATCTTTAACATTTAACAACAGAGCATTTTGATACATTTTCCTTGATCACTCACTCATTCATGGTTATTTATTCTTTTTGTGTGGAATTTGGTTCAGATACCACTTGTTCAGATCTCCTTTGAAATCCAGGTTTCATAATGGAACTAATTGAAGTTGGCAGAGGTATCCATCGAGTGTCATTCTACTTCAGAACAGTGTAGATTGAGTCTAATTGCATTTCATTTTCATTATATTCTTATTTTGTACCTTTGGTTTTCTTTCTATTTCTTTAATATGCCATTTCTATGTTATATATATTATTATTATATATATATTATTATTATATAACCTCATTCTCATATAATATAACATAATATTATAATATAACCTCATATAATATAATACATATATTAACTTTATTATATTTATAAACATACATATGAACAATTGTTAATTTCATACAATAATAGCTATTGGAGTGCTTGCTCCAATGATCTTATGATGAAAAAGTGCAGATTTATTTATTTGTTAAATATGAACAATGGATGAGATTTATACTGGTGATTAATTTCCCTTTTCTTCCAATACAGACTCATATGCTAATTGTTCCAAACACAAGTCACATTAAAATGATTAAAGACACAAACCAATGATTATTCCTGGCCTGAGCACATGTACAATTATTATCGTAATTTGCTTTTGTAATATGCAATGGATGGTCCATATGGTTTTGTAATAGCTCGAGTATGATTGGTTTCTGTTTTGTACTTAAACTGTGAATCCTCCTGATCAACTGAAAATACTTATATCACGAATCATAAGTCAAGACTGATTTATACTCTGATAATTGACTGAGAATTATTAAAATACTTATTTTTTTAGCAAAGGCACTTTAACATAATAGTTGTAATATCTCAAAATACCACTTGGTGTCACCCTTTCACCAGACTGCAAGTATCAGGGCCTGCGCGAGGGGAATGTATCAATCGAACAGAAGAGTAATCATGAAGAAAACCACTCTGTTAGAGTAACTGTAATTCAGCGGACACTGTTTAGGTGTCTGCATGTGTGTCTGAACCTGTGTGTGTTACATATTTCATGTTCAGCTATAAGCTCCGTGTGTATCTAGTTTGAGTCAGAGCAGGGCGGTGCAGGTGGAACAACTGATAACATTTTAATCTTATTTTCAAGGTGAGAAAAAGAGTGTCCTCTCTCTCTCTTTCCCTCTCTCACGCACACTCACAGAATGTGGATTAAAGCAGTGCTTCTGTTCTAGATGATATCTTTTCTTCTTGATGGTCGAACCCAAAAAACGAGAAGTTGAAGAGCGATGGAGAAATACCTACTTAGCTGAATCTGCAGCGAGCATTACAGATAGTGGAGGCTGTGGTGTGAGGGGAATTGTAAAAGAAGGAGCCTCTTGGTTCTCAGTCCGAAGGTACTGAGTGTACTATACGTGAACACATCCCTGTATGTTGGCCGAGTGTTTCTAACCTGTGAACTACAACATGAGCTGTGATCTATAATACATTAAGCTCGTGTGAATCCTCAGCGTATCCTCTAATTGGACCACTGTGATGTAAGCATTTCTTTTGAAGATGCTTAATTACTTCAACTACCCACAAAGTTCTTTTATTTCCCGTTCCCTCTCTCCTCAGCCTTTACATTTGGACACATTTTCTATTCTCTGTACATTCACTCTCTCCTGCCCTTCAGAGAGCAGCGAGTCACCCTGAGGCGGCAGAATTGTGACGAACAAGAGCCAGTGTTTCTGCGTGAAGGGTAGGTCTGTTTGGCTCTCCTTTTGGCGGTATCTAAAAGCTGTGCACTGAGCTGCTGTTAAATTGGATTTGGTTAGAAAAAAAAAGAAAAAAAGACGACTCACTGGAAAAGGTTACACAAAGAAAGAGAGTTAATGGATCTGGGCAGCCATGGAGCACGTAGAGGTATTGTTACAAGCTTGTACAAATTGGCAACTCCTATTGAAGTATCTCTTAGCAAGAAAGTGAATCCCAGCCTGCTTCCTCTGTGTCATGCTGCACATTACATCAACTGGGGCTGTAAGAAAATCATTGGCAAGGAAGCTTTAAAAGCTGCAAAACCTCCCTCAAATCTAAAACGGGATATATATTTCTATAAGGAAAACATGAGAAAATGTAGAAGGATGGAAACAGTTTTTTCACCAAGTTCCCCAAACAACAACAAACCAGACAGAACCTCAGGCATAGCATTGCCATATAATTTAACAGTATGTTAACACAGTATATAGAAAGCAATATACTTTGCAGTAGTGATATGTTATGGTTTTGAAGGTTAGGACATCCATATCGTTTATTGTCATCATAGAGATAGGGACATCAGCTTGTCTTTAAACACATAAATACATTTTAAAAAAAGTATGTATGCATTGTGGTTTCCTCATCAATGGGCTTCTTGAATCGGTGTTGAAATTGTCTTTGGTCAACACAACCTGAAAACATTTTCATGTTTTATTCCATGACATAAACATCAAACCCCATACATCATTTTTTTTAAAAGCTTTTTGTATGATCCTATAAAGTAGACAGCACCAACATTCAGAGGTGGTCCAAGACATGTGGATGCAATATTTTTACACTTTTCATTGACCATACATTGACTTACTTGTGGCAACCACCACCTCATTTTTGTCATCATTTATTTCACCTCTCTATCTCACTAATGGACTGCGAGACATCCGTCAACTCAGACTGGCTCAAGAACATCATTTGGCCTTTGCGAATAGAAATCATGTCCATGTTTATTTGCATAGGACATGGGGGAAGTGAGATCACAGGAGACACGTTCAGGACACATTTTAACACCAAGTGAATAGACAAACTTAGAGCTGACCACTTGAAGGCCACTGAGCTGTGGCGGTAGAACGGGTTGTCCTCTTACGAGAAGGTTGGCGGTTCGATCCCCGTCTCCCACATTTCGCGTGTCGAAGTGTTCTTGGGCAAGACTGAACCCCAAATAAATGACGTGTGATAGAGAAAGTTTACATAGATGCACTGAGATGCACTGTATGAATGGGTGGATGATAAACCTGTTCTGTTTTTGTTGCACCACCTCTGTACCACGTGAAAGCCAGTCCAGAGGGGTGTTTTATATATAATCATGGCCTGGAGGCAGCATAGAGCTCAATAGTCAGGGGCCTAGTATTTGTTGTATTCTTGGATTTAAGTGACTTAAGTTATCTACAATGTTTTTGTATTTCTTGTATTTTTCCATTTTTTGTCAATTTTATTCAGGACTTCACATTTGTATTTGACTGGTGACAACAATAAAATGAAGCAGGTGAAGATTTTGATTCATGTTTCTTTCTCCCACTTCCAATACTACAAGCGACGTTAATACCAGGACTGAACAGGGCATTCAAAAAAAGGAAGCAGCTTACAAGAGTAAATGAGACTTTCTGAGGTGTCTTGGACTTACAATGTCATCGTGCCAAACATGGAGGTATTAACTCTGCCTTTATTGCCTCATTGTGTTTATACTCACTGTCTCTGTTCAGAGGAAAGACTTTTTAAAGAAAGTATGCTCATCAAATCAAATTGACTTCAAGGTGATGTTCATTAATTTCAGCAGACATCAATAAGCAAACAGAAAAATCCCATCTGCTTTTTGTCCAGGGAACTGGGGTGATGCTAACTTGCACGTTGGTCTACAAAAACATTCCAACCCTGCAGCACATGATTATTTGTTATTTAATTGGAAGGAGTTGTGGGAAAATCCAGGCGCTCTATTTTCCAGCTGCTAAATAAACGTCCATCAGTGAGTGGAGGCAACAGCTCTGTGCTGAAGGCCTTGTGTCCTGCAGTAGTTCTACCCCAGCAGATCTAATTTCCTTGTCATGTAGTTTCTAAATGAGAAAAATGTGTTTATTGTCACTCATGTGTTGTTGACTGCTGTTCTTAAGCACTGGAATTTGTCATTTTGTCCAGCACCATGTTAGCTTTTTGAAACCAGAGATGTATTTGGAGGAGCAGGGAGGGTGAGCCTGGATTAAACCTTTTCCACTGATCAAAAAAACAACTAACAGCTCTGAGCATCTGGCCTTTGTCTGCAATGGGAATAGATACAATCAGTGTTCTCCCCCGGGTCAAATGACTCAGCAGTAGACACAGGTTTTAATCGGCTCCAGCTCCGGTCAGAAGTAATTGTAATGTGACACCTGTCGAACGCATCAATTTGGCAATACAGTGAGGTGAGAGAGCGCTTTCGTGATGTCAAATAGAAGGTTTGAAACCAGCAATGTAGACCACAAACTCTGTATGGAAATGTTTATTGATTTTAAAAATCAAATGACAAGTTGGGTCATTTTCTTCAGATTTATATAGCGTCAATCAATCAATCAAATTTTATTTGAATAGCCCACACTGACAAATCAACATTCTCTGACCTCAACAAGCAATAACTACCAGAAAGACCTCATTAACGGGGAAAAAACGGTAGAATCCTCAGAGAAGGTTGTAAGTGAGGGATCCCCTCCCCCAGGATGGACAGAAGTGCAACAGATTCTACGTGTAACAGAGCACATCAACACGATGAGGCTGCAGCAGCGATCCTGGATCTGCAAACGATAAAGCACAAGGACTCTGGGGGGTGAAATCCAGTCAGTAACATGAATGTGAGGAAGTGGAAGAGAAGGAAAGAGAAGCTTCATATGTCCCCTAACAATCTAGGTTAACAGCAGTATAACCAAGAGCTGGTCCAACCTGAGCCAGCTCTAACTCTGAACCTTATCAAAAACATTTTTAAGCCTACTCTTGAACATAGAGAGGGTGTTGGACTCCCGAACTGAAACTGACTTCTTTATTTGAGAGAATCCAGGCACATCAGCATTGGCTTCACTTTCCGGACCCAGGGTCAATGTCCATTTTTTATACAGTCTATGCCTCACACACA